GGAAGTTACTTTACATTACAAAGAGAAGAAATAGATATCTTAAATGATACCAATATAATTAATGAAAATACACTATCTTTAGAATATTATAGTAGCAAAGAACTGATTATGAGGACTTTTAATTGGTAATTATTAATTTTTAATAGGCAAATGCCAGGAGATAATGGCATTGAATTTTGCTTCTTTGTGCAGTATTTGGATGATTTGCCAAACGAAAGTCCGGATATAATCAACGCCATGTTATTGTAATAAGTCTTTTTATATTATCTCTTAATAAGTATTAGGGCTGATGTTGAAGTTTTGAAAATTTTTTGAGACGCATTTTTTTTTATATAATAGTTTGATTAGAGTTTAAGGTTAGGGTTTATTAATTAAAATATATAGGTAGATTTTCGTAGGTATTATAGATCAAAATAGAGATCCCAAATTTCAGCATCAGCCCCCACAATAAACAAGCCTAAAAACTAGTGATTGGGTGGACGGGTGACCTGGGTGGAGTTTTGGCCACCCGGGTGGGTCACCCAACGGGTGACCTGTGAACAATAATTGCGACTTTAATCCAAATATGCACTTGTATGTATATTAATTGTCTTTTTTTCTTAAAAAAAAAACTTTCAAAATGGGTTTTTTATTAGACTAGACACTCATTCAATGAATCGGAGGTAAAATTTTAAACGTTTTGATAAAATTTCTAACCGATCCAAATAAAATTACTATTTTATTTTTACAGATGTTTTTATAAATTCTGGAACAACTGAAAAAATTGCCGATGACCAAATTGAAAAGTTACCGAGTCGGAATCAATAAGTAACCGACTTCGGAAGCTTATCTATTCGGTCATCGGCAATTTATTCAGTTGTTCCGGAATTTATGAAAACAGCTGTAATGCTCTAGTTCCACCCAGGTGACTCATGAATCCACCTGACGGGTTGCTTTTTAACCCACCCGGGTTCTACCCGGGTGGCGTTTTTTTTGACAGGTCCAATCACTACTAAAAACTATGTGAGCTTATATAAGTGGTAATAAATTTAATTGTTACGTATTATATTTTAGGCATCCTCAAATGTCATTTGGTGTTCTCGTGATACCTGATTCCAATGAATACACTGAGGAAATAAAGAATGCCGTTCGTTGTTGCTCACACAATACAATACTAATAGATGTCGAGAACGTTGTTAATGACATTGAACGGCACTGCATTAGTTTAAAGAAAAAGGAATATTTAGATAAGGATGTTGTTACTGCAATAGATGATATGAGAAAAAACCTGATAAAAATGCGATTAAACCTCGATAAATGGGAGTATGAAAGAAATGAAAAATAAGTGAACTGATGAGATTAATAATGATGTCTTGGATTGTTAGGTTTTTGATGGTTTTTTTACTTATGATAATTTTCTTACAATTCAATTGTGGTATAATTTTTTTTTTTTATAATAATAAATTTTCAAATAACTATTCTTAAACCATTTTTTGAGATTTTCAATTAAATCCGTTTTATATCAAAAAAAAATTTACTTAATGTTCTCAATAAAGAAAACATTTTAATAGCATATATTCTTAATATTTGATTAATATTCTCAGAAAACTTGAGAATATTAGATTTCGCACACTAGTTATAAGACTCCTTTCTTGTATGTATAAATAATAATAAATATCTAATATTTATCTTAATTTGAAAGCCAAATCAAAGGTTTTATATTGTATTTTAATGATAACGATAATATATTTTTTTAGTGTTGTTTCATAATATCATACAGATGCTAAGTTTTCTAATAATATTATGATGTTTGTATGTTGTGTT